TAGATGAAGTTCTAGTCTGTACTGTCTCTGGATGAAGTTCTATTCTGCACTGTGTCTAGATGGAGGTCTAGTCTGCACTGGTGCTGTGGGATGTCTTTCTGCATGTATGATTAAATGTGATATTCTAATTGGTTGATAAATAAAGCTGTTTGGCTAATGTTGAGGCAGAATAAGGTTAGGCGGTACGTTCCAACTGGAGAGAAAGGAAGAGAAGGTGGAAGGTGGAGGTGGAAGAGACACTGAGAACTGTCATCAGGAGAAGCAAGATGTGAAAGTACCAGTAAGCCACAAAGCCACATGGCAACTTTAGATAAATAGAAATGGGTTAAGTTATAAGAGGTAGCTAGCGAGAAGCTTGAGCCATAGGCCATTCAGTTTGTAAATAATATAAGCTTCTTCTGTGTTTGCTTGGGACTAAGGAGCTTTGGGACGTGAGTGGGAGAGATTTGTTCTGACTGCAGGCTGGGCAGGACACAGGAAAGCTTCTGACTACACACTGGTCTTTAGATGAAGTTCTAGTCTGCACTGTGTCTAGTTGAAGTTCTAGTCTGCACTGTCTCTAGATGAAGTTCCAGTCTTCACTGTCACTAGATGAAGTCCCAGTCTTCACTGTCTCTAGATGAGGTTCCAGTCTGCACTGTATCTAGATGAAGTTCTAGTCTGCACTGTCTCTAGATGAAGTTCCAGTCTTCACTGCCTCTAGATGAAGTTCCAGTCTTCACTGTCTCTAGATGAAGTTCTAGTCTGCACTGTCTCTAGATAAAGTTCCAGTCTGCACTGGTTATTTAGGAAACAAAGAGTGACCGCCCACCCTGAATGTGTGAAGTTTCCAGTTGGAAGTGATGGGCTATGGAGTCACTACACATCATTTTCATTCCCATGGCTATACTGGAGGGTTTCATGTTAAATTGACACAAGTTAGAGTCACTGGAGAGGTGGGAGCCTCAGTTGAGAAAACACCTCTATAAGACCAGGCCATTGGCAAGCTTATAGAAAGTTTCATTAATTACTGGAGACCCCATTCCATTATGTGTGGTGCCATCCCTGGGCTGGTGGTTCTGGGTTCTATAAGAAAGCGGGCTGAGCAAGGCATTAGGAGCAAGCAGCACCCATCCATGGCCTCTGCATCATCTCTTGCTTCTAGGTTCCATCCACATTTGAGTTCCTGTTCTGATTTCCTTCAGTGATAAACAGTGATGTGGAAGTGTAAACCAAATAAGCCCTTTGTTCCCCAACTTGCTGTTGGTCATGGGGCTTCATTACAGCAACAGTAACCCTAACTAGGACAATGGCTCTAACTAATCATGCCAGATGACAAAGTCAGCACCCAGAATAAAATAACAATAACTTAGGGAATATTAGCACTAGGATAACCAGATGAGGAAAGTAGTACCTGAGACAAGATACTACAAGTAAACTCAGAGCCCCCAGCTACAGGATGGCATTCTGCCTCCCAGCCCAGTAGTTGAAAGAGCAGTGCTGGATCGTGGAGGAACTGGGACTGTAGATCTGACTGTGCCACACTGGCTGTGCAATCCAGGACAAAGCATCTCTGCAGCTCAGTTTCCCCTCTATAAAGTAGGATAGGTGTTTTACAAAGTTTTACCTGCATACAGTTTCCTGTGCTCCAGGCACAGGGTTTTCTGAGGTTCTCATCTAGTCCTGTAAGTACTGGGCTGGGAAAACCTCTCAAAGAACAAGAAGAAAGACACTCTAGATGCTGCTTTCCCCTTCCCTTCCCAGACCAGGCCGGGAGCTCCTTCTTCTTCCTTATGGGAAAAACCCACCTCAAGGACTGACTGAGTTTAGACTAGAGAAAAGGCCATGTAGGAAAGACTTGATGCTTTTCTCTCTTCAATCTTTTTGGAGCTGTTTTGGGAGCTGGTACAAACAAAATGGTTGTAAAGTCTGAAAATACATAAAAAAAAAAAATGTGTAGCCTTGCTCTGAAGCCAAGAGGAGCTACAGGAAATGATGAATCAGACCCAAAGGAACTAGAAATGGGAATCAGGTGAGCTCTTTGTCTGGAGCTTCAAGAGCAGGACTCACTTATAAGTGCCTGCCTGTGTCTAAAATGGCCTGGGTGAATGGTGCAAGTAGATTCTGCAGCACTTTTTTCTAAATGTCCCTCTAACCTGGCTTAGGAGACAAGAGTGGTTTATTCCAGGCATAGACAGGGATTAATAACTTAGCATAAATCGTCTTCTAATTAAAAAAAAAAAGCTCATGGCAGAAATTTGATCATGAAAACTACAAAACATTAATTTTACAACACCTGTATAACTCATTGAACAAGGAGAAGTTGAGCTAGTGCCCACATAGAGTCTTCACCCCTATGTTCTGTCATCTTTGGTAAGGAAGGTACTCTGCATGCTAAGCAAAGAAAAATGTAAAAACCAACTCAGCCACAAACACTTTGATCTACAGTGTTATAGATCTGTAAGATATACTAGAGCAGTGGGGGCATAATGCTTGTGGGAGAAACCAACCAATGTCTGCTTTGACTTAAGGTCCATTCTACAAGATGGAACTCATACCCATCACTGCTTGAGTAACCAAGGACCTGAGACTAGATAGCCTAAGAACCTAGAGTAAAACCAACTACTACTGTTCTAAAAAATAAAAAGAGTAGCAGTTAATGACTACTGATTACATGCTTCTATACTTATAAATCAGTGCCTTTCTCAGCCATCATCAGAGAAGCTTCCCCTTGCAGCAGATGGGAACAAACACAGAGACTCACAGCCAGACATTATGGAGACAGTTAGAGACCCTGAAATACTCAGCCCAAAATGGAATATCTCTATCAAATCCTTCCCTTCATGGTTTAGGGAACTACGTGGAAGATGAGGTAGAAAAAGTATAAGAGCTAGAGGGGATGGAAGACACCAAAAACATCAAACCAAAACAAAACAAAAAAGTAAGGCCCGCTAAAACAACATGAACAAAGGTCATATGAACTCACAGAGACTGAGGCAGCATGCACAAGACCTGCATAGGTCTGCACCAGGTCCTCTGTGTGTTTTACCATCCTATAAGGTTGTGAAAATCAAATAAGTTTATTCTCATTATTTATTGAAGTATTTTTAGACTGTCAAATAGTAATCAGATATATCATACATTAAAAAAATAATTCATGTGTCAAAATGGAAAGCCTACAGCCGGAGTCAATTGGTATTCTAGGTAAAGTTCATAATTAAATTGTAATTTTTAATTATGTGCATTGAGATATAAACAGCTGAATTGCCTTTCTTTCTCTTAGAAGTGAAGGAAAGGACTTAAAGTTTATAATACAAAGAACAGAAAGTATAGCAAAAGTAGTCTCAGAGCATATGATCTGAGCTTTCTAGAATAGGCTGAGTCAACTTTTGTCAAATGTGAAGTTCAAGAGCTTATGCTGAAGGTAGAGACACCTGACAGATAGCACAGAGAAGCTTGCTCCTGGCCAACTTTAGATAGCCAAGGAAAAGGATGTCTAACCTGAAAACATCTGGGCAGCTTGAAGCTGAGCATACAGAGATATTTAAGTATTTAGGGATCTGGATCTACTTCAGGGAAACAGGAAGAAGGAACATTATACTCGATTTATCCATAGAGAAGCTAAACTGAAATAAAAGTTATCTCCTGATGTAGGTCAAATCACGAGGCCTGTGTTAGCAGGGGTTGGCCCTACTATGTTGTATAAACTGCTGCAGTATGGCTCCCTTGCCGCTTTGCAGGGCCAGGTGAGAGAGAAAAGGAAAGCTGGTTCTCTGATAGGTTAAAGCTGTTCACTACGTGAACAGATTGGAACATTATTTTCTTGCCCACATGGTAGTAGAAAGGGTAGTGTGCACTCTTTGAAAAGCTCAGGAGGAGCATGAAGTTCTATGCCATGATATCTAACAAGGAAGACCAGAGTTCTTAGCCTCTGTCTAGCTAGCACCCAGTGGCCAGTGCGTGGCCGATATCTGACCCAAAGATCAGACAGGAAAGACCCCTATGCCATTTCTTTATGGTACTTGTGATGCTTAATCTTCATTGCAGGTCTGACTTGATTTAGAATGACCGAGGAGGGGCACAGCATTTCGAGGTATGTCCATGAGATGAGAGTGTTTCCAGAGAGGATCAATTGAGGGGAGTAAGACCTATCCTGAAGTGGGGAGCACTAACCCATGGACTGGAGGTGGGGACAGAGTAATGGCAGGGGAGAAGGAGCTTGCCCAGTCTCTGTGTCCTGGCCCCACCATGCCTTCTCATCACAATGGACTGAATTGTCTGAAACCGTGAGGGAGATTAAACCCTCCCCTGAGCTGGCTTGTGCCGAAACATTACTAATACTAAATCAAATACTAAATCAAGGCAGCCAGCTTAGAGTTAAGTGGCTAAATGTACAAGGGTGAATCTATCTAATCACAAAAACTGCAGTTTTAATCAGGAAGAGTTCATCAGCAGGGCTTCGTAGAGTGTGGGTTATATAAAGCGCTGCATCCATGATTCAGAAGTCACGCTGCCTTTTCTCTTGCTCCTGTCTCTCAACACACAGTATTAGAGCGACATGGAGGACGGGAGATGAAATTAAATATAGTCTGCTTTGGGGGTGGAGAGATGGCTCAGTGGTTGGAGAGCCAGGTACAGTTTTTGCAGAGTACTAGAGTTCAGTTCCCATCCATGCTGGGTGGCTCACAACTGCCTGTAACTCCAGTTCCAGAGAGGCTTTGGCCTCCATGGGGACCTGCATACATGTGCACATACTACCAACACACACAGAGATACACATAAATAAAAACAAATCTTTAAAATAAAAGGTCTAAATTCTGCTTTATCTTTGAGGTTTCCATGCATTTCAGAGACAAGGAAGATATCCAGTTGTCAGCTCAGTACAACTCAACTCTCCCTTCATTCTTTGAAGAAGTGTCTCCAGGAAAGAGACCATCTGGAGAGAAAGCACTTTCGGGTGTTTTTCATTCAACCGGGCTCATCATATGCAATCATATGCTAGAAAGAACGTAAACACATACGTGCTCTGATGTGAAGGCGATGAGCCTGGGCACTGCAGCCATTCCTTTCTCCTTGACTTCTGGAAACATCTTATAGCGGGCAATAAGCATGGCATACATGTTGGAGATGGCGCCACCTAAAGGGCACAAAAACAGTTACTTTTTCTATTTCTCCATCAACATGTTCATGCAAGCAGCATTCTTTGTTTCCATAGACCTAGAACAGTTTCTTTAAGGGTGTGGGTCACAGCCCCATATGGGATCATGTAACTGAACGTGGTAGGGAGGCAGGGTAAAAAAACTGGCAACAGTAAAAAGCTTCAGAATATACGACAACCACAAATCAGTTCAAAATGAAACACATAATGAGTCCGAGTTGTTTCGGGCAGTGCTTGTCCACGTTACGCCACACAATGTCACTGTAACTTTGGTTCTAAACACACATAATGTTCCTTTGACCTTTTGCATCATGCCACATAGTACCAATGAACACTGACTGAAATGTCTTGGCTCAGAGATGTATGTTATGAATAGCAGCGCTTTTGCTGTACAGGCAAGACGTTTTGCTCTTACAGAAATTTAATAGCTTAGTTATGAAAAACAAACTTAATATTTCTCTTTCATTGTTCCTTAGCTGGTACATAACAATGTACATGGATTGTATTGTGTTAGGATGTTTGATTTTCAAAGTTGCTGTTTAAGTTGGTGATATGAGTTTCATAAGTAACTAATGAATGAAAATTGGTTTGGGACTAGGACAGATTTTTTTTAACAATTTCTGGAATGTCCCTAAATATACTCCTGCCATTTTATAATATGTATTGACACAATGTGGCATTGGCTATTATAAAATCAAGATAAAGAGTAACTCTTAAAAATGATGATGCCTTTACAGAGTACAGTATCAAGGATCTAGCCAAGGCTTAATTCATTTTGTAAAACTAAACATATATGTCTCATTATTATGCAAATTTGATTGTCCTTAATAAGTGGTAAATTTTATCCATAACAAAGAATTACTTTAAAATAATTGTTTATGATTTATTATCAGTGAATGTTTTATTTGTATGTTTATTTTATATGTCTAGAAACCCAGGTAGATTAAAAACTTCCCAGGTGAAAAGGGATCATGAGTGGGAAAAGTTGAAGGAACCTTGACCTATAACTTCCATGGAAAATCCTTATAGCTTTCCTTTGAACTGCATCCTCGGACTCAAAGATAGAGCTAAGAGGGTTCAGAGCAGCATTGGACCTAACTACAGCAAGAAAAGCACCTTAAATGCCAGGCATGATGACACACACACACACTTAAGGCCAGCCTTATCTCATAGTGAGTTCTAGAACAACCAGGACTACAAGCAGACCCTGTCAAAAAAAGGGGGGGGCGAGTAGAAAAAGAAAAACACCTCAAGGAGGAATTTTAATTTATTTAGCTCTTGCTGGGGAGGTCTGTGAATGGTCATATTATGTAGCACATGCTGGCTTTGAACTCATGATCCTCCTGTCTCAGCCTCCCAAATGCTGGAATTCATGTATGTACCATTTTGTCCATCTTGAAGAGACTTTTGAAAAAAGACTTTTTTCTTCCTTTGCTCTCTAGTTTGTGAGCATAACCAGTCGGCATTAGGCCTGTCAAATCCTGGTACTGTGATGGTGGTAAAGAGCTATTTCTTTCCATTCCCAGCAATACCTTATGCTTGAATGGAGACAAATAAACTACCATTAATGCTGCAGGCTGCTAATGGTTCTTACAGAATACAGGATAAGCATCCACACTCATCTCACCATTCTCTGTTTATTCTTCTGAACAGGTCTTTTCTTTCAAAGATATCCCTGAGATACGATTGCATTCATTAATGCAATGCTGTTTGATGATGTCAGCTTCACATGGAATTACATTTCCTGTATTTCCCTAAGACTGTCAAGAACGTCAAAGTTTTGCTCTACTCTGTAAGGAGCATCTCACGTGACAAGCAATGAAACTTTCTGCAGGATGTTTGAGAAGCTTAGGAATGTTGCTATCCAGGAAATATGAATGCACATGAATATGCTGGCACAGAGAACATGAGACCAGAAGGCAGAGTGAAAGTGTCATCTCTCTGGCCCACTTCAAGGAAGAAACTCTTGGGACTATTTCATGGATAGTTTGATTAGTTTGTTCTAGTGACTGAGGAGCAGGCAGGCAGACCCTACCAGTTTGAAGGGTCCACGAGTCCCAAGCTCTGATACAGGCAGGCCACTTGGTACAAAGCAGCCACTAACCAGTCCTTGGCATCTCTACAGTCAGAATGCAGGCAGTTACTACCTTGTTGGACCCTAGAGATCCAGGACAGAATAAAACAGGACAAGTATGTTCAGATCAGATGCCCAGTTGAAAGGCAGTGTATGATGCTGGACTCAAAGCAAAGCTTTTGAGGACATTTCACTCTAGCTATGATTTCTCAGTCTTAGCACTAACTGACATTTTGAGCTACAGAATTCCTTAAAAGCAGATTGTTTTAGGCAATGTGGGATGTTTGGCCCCATCCATGACTTCCAGTTGCAAGCGGCATTTTCTTTCAAGTCACAACAACTCAAAATATCCACAGATATTCCCAATGGTTCTTTGGGGGGTGGGCAACATTGGCTCCCTAGTTGAGAACTGTGGCTCTTGTTACACTTCCCAGTCTGAGGATGGAGGGGGTGGGGGGAAGAGGACAAAAGGAAGGGGAATGTATACAAAGAAAGTGCCTTTCAAGTGTAATTATTCTAGAAGTTTCCAGCCCTGACCTCCTGCTCCTCATTTTGCACCTCAGTCATCCTCCAGCCAAAGGCTTTTCAGCCCTGATGATGATGAAGAAACTTGTGCAATACCACATAAGGATGAGGATGGATGCCTGAATCCTACAACCGTTAATGATTATGTCAGGAAAAGATCTGTGACTAAGCCAGGCCTTTTCTCCCTTAGAGAGAGATCATTTATGACCCGCCAAAGAGTAGAGTACTTTTTGACTCTCAGGTGTAGATAACATGACATATACAGAATTCTGGGAGTCTTAAGGGAATTTCCAGGAAGCACCAAGTCTCTGGATACTAGTGGTGGGGTTGAACAGAACTGAGCAACAGTCAAAACAAGTTGAGCATTTTGTCCAAGTCAAAGACCCAAGTCTTGAGATTTAGTCCCGGAATCACAGGCACCTGGGTTGTGCCTATGATACTACTATTCCCACTCTCATCACTCAACACTTTAGCCCAGGAGCAAAACTAGACTCTGTGTAGTAAAACATCTACCAGGAAATAAGGGCGCTATGAGCCATCACTTTTCTTGTAGGAAGTTGAGGAGAAACAGGTCCCCATTGCTTTTTGTTGCTGTCCCCTCTGACTTTGGGATATTTATATTACAATATAACACTACATCTATGGCTTTCACACCAAGGTGAGAACATATGCGTCTTTAGGCTCAAAGGAAGACACTACATAGTCTCCACCTGATAATTTGCCACCATCCACAGGGTCATACAAAACCTAGCAGAGTCATCAATGAGGAATTTTTTCTTGGGGTGTATGTTTTCTGGGGCATGCAGTTTCCAAGACAAGCTAGATAATTAGGCATGCGCCTTATCTAGACAAGTCAAAATTTCATAGTCAACACATTCCCACTTCTAGGAACCAATAAAACAGAAACCAGGTTGTTTGTTTTTGGCGTATCTCAGGGACAGCTCAGCCCCACAATCAACCTTATAAGAGAATGAATAAGACAGGAATGATGTTGACATCATAACCCTTGTAATTCTACCTAGTTCTTCATGAAAATATGTCTTTAAGCATCGGTTTCCAACAATAAAGACCAAGCCACAAACTTAGCATCAAAGGAAACTAAGTTCTAAATTGCCTAGAAAATGAAGGAATCTATCACGACTAGTGTTCAATGAGTATGTTTTTTTTAAAAGGCTAATTTTTTGTTCCATTTAACTAATACCTTTTCCTTTAGCATCTGAGAAGACATGCTATGCACTTAAAAACATAAAATAACAGTTGAGAGATGGTTAGACAGACATATGTAAATCTTGTCCTTGAGGCTACTGTTGCTTGGCCATTGTTTCATCTTCACACTTATTTCTTCTCTCACTTCTCACCTGCCTCTGCAGGTTTGCTTAAGAGGGATCAGAATCTGGCCAGGCTGTGCCGGACAAGCGAGGTGTGGCTGTGGCCTTTCCTGTCCGACCCACCCACCCATCATAGCGTACTGAAGACTGGCTTCCTCTTACTGACAAGGTTCCACTCTGACACCAGGCTTCTTTTGCATGGGTCAGTGACTTCCCCCATCACCCTCCTAACTGCTCTTTCATCTATGAGTCAAGTCAAGGTCACAATCATGAGCTAAGGGCACAGCATTTTGTTTCAGGTTGATTCTATGGGCTGGGAGAGGTGTAAGTAATGGAGCTTAGGATGCGGTGGCTGGTATAAAAGGCAAAATGGAAAAGATTGGATAAAGAGCAGGAAGGAAAAAGACCTCAGCAAAATCACCACACTCTTAGCTCTAAGGAATCATCTCCCATGCACTGTTTGCCTCCTTTGAAATTAGTCTAAATCCACTTTGCTGCTCACTATTCCAGAGACTAGAGAAGGGACCGGGCTCTACTGAGGAAACACGCTTCAATACACACTGTCACACACTGGGTGTCGTATTAAATGACTCTTTTCATTTCACTAGTTCCGGGAAATGCAGCAAGGATGAATTTTCTTATTAGCAATTGTTATTCTTTTGTCCAGCACTATCCATACATCTCATATGTAGGGTCATGGTAGAAATATAGAGTAAATATCATGTCTGATTATACTCTGTTGAGCACAAATAACTGATTTTTAAGCAATAGTAAGATTGAAGGTGTTTTCAACGGACTCAACCACACTTATTATTTTGATAAGGACATAGCCTAGGTACCTTAATCATAAACGCAAAATAAATGTTTGATCTTAAGTTTATAACACAGCATATCACAAGAACAAAACAGAGAAAAATTGAAATATATATATATACCAGGAGAAAATATTCCATCTCCAGAACCCCCTGGCCAGCCAATGATCTCTCTCATTTTCTTTAGTGTGACGTATTCTAACAGCACAAATACAGGAGCAATCTCATAGGTGAACCTGAAATGTATAAATGACCATATTTTATGTATGTAGCTCAAGTAAAGTTATTTGCAATCATAACATCACAGAATTTCTTTTTTTAAACTTACATTTATCGATGCAAGGATTATAACATTAAATATATGATTATTTGTAAAAGGATTTCCAAAACATTGCTCATTTTTATGTTGCCATAAAGCCAAGATCTTCAGTTATTGTCATAACGTGCAGGGGTAGTTTATCATATTGAATACAGAACACAACATAATGGGACTATGCAAAAATGCAACATTGGGCTTTATTTTTTTCATATAACACATTATTTTAAATCAAAATGTTAAAAAGTCTCTTTTATATTAACATTTTGCATAGTTTGATAAAATCAAAGACATATAAAGGCATTAAAAAAACAAGCCAGAGTGAGAACACATGATACAAAGAGATTTACACAAAAGAGGTTTTTTGTGTAATCAGCTACTCACATGTTAGTGTTTGCTGTTGATGTCAGCCAGTCTGCTGCTAACCCAACCATATCCAATCCAGTAGACAGCTGATTAAAATATCGGGGATGCCCTGAATAAAAGAGAATTAGGATTTCAACCAGTGAAAATAAATGTTTCCCCAATACATGTTTTTTTTTTTATGTAGCTAAAGGATCTTGAAAGACTCTTCAGTTATAAGAGATGCATATTCAGAAATCTCATATGCAAATGTACTTGTGAGCATAAGACACATGATCACGTGCACACATGCACACACACTCAAGCAACCCTTCTTCCCACCAGAGGCTACTTAGAGTTTAGTATTTCCCAAGACACACTCTAAAGATCATCTCTCAAATAGGCCATTTAAAAATAATATGTGCTTTGCAATGTGGAGAGTAGATCACTTCACACTATGCTTCCAATATTATTGCAAACTAAAATGTTATGGTATCCCGAATCATTTTTCTCATTTGCATTGTTACTGCTAACAGTCCTTTTGTTGAGCTGTTTCGAGAATCAGTCATACCATGACATCCTTCTGGCATGCCAGCATTCATAATAATATCAGTGACAAATGACTGATGATTACAAAGACAGGGCAAAAATGAGAAACTAGGACACTCTGCCGAGTGATTTGCCCTGGATTCAAAGGTGAGGAATGTCTAGAGATGGCATAGACAAAGCTAATTCTGGACAGTTTTTTTTTTCCTGTCTGAATTGTGATTACGATCAACGATCAACAAAGCCACCTCTCAGTTGAGACCTAGAGCAGAGATGAACACAGATCTGTGAAAAATATAATCAATGGCTAGATTGGCCCATTAAAAGGATTATCTAATCAACTTCTAGATTTCTCTAAAATTCTGTAAATGGATTGACATCCATATACCCTCTGAGGCTATTAGTTTAAAAATTCGATTATGAATATCTCATGAAGAGTCTGTTTTTTCACCTTGCCCCACGGAACCCTATCAATAAATCCATGTTTTGTTTAGCAACAAAAATTTGGGAAGCAAAATTATGGAAATAGCATCTGATTAAAAAAATGTTATCTGTCACTTGCTAGACATCTGGTGTCTGTGATGTGAGTCTCACATCCTAAGCATGGGCGAAACAAGATAAAGACAGAACTGGAAAAAGCATATCGCTTATCTCAGGGACTGAAAGTCTCTCTTATCAGCCCTGGGCATGTGGCTAGAGAGTTTGACAATGGGGATGGATGGGCACGGGAAGGAGCACATTTTAGAGGGACTGGTTTTTGTTGCCCCCGCCCCCTTTTTCTCTTCTGCAGGCCCTTTGACTCTGACCTCATCAGTTTACTCATTCAGAAAAGGTATAAAGTCCCTCAGCTGCTGCAGATGCTATTGCAAGATGCCACCCCCTTCTCTCTGCCTCATTGACTCTCCATTTCATTGCAGCCCGAAGGTGACATCACAGCCTACTTCTCCCTCCAGAGGGCCCTCCACTCTGCTGTCCCTAAATCATTTTTGAGTGAGGAAATCAATTCAGATTGATAGCTTATATGCATTTTTAGATGAACCTACCTATTACCACACAGGATTTAACTCTGTGGAAATTCTAGCGTGGTAGCCTCCGCATAAAATCGAGAGGAATTGTAAGGTGTGTGCAGGAACTCTGGACATCAGAACTCTAGTACACTCTGATTGAACAAATACTCTGGGTAAACTAAACACAGGTTTGATGCTTCTGTTACTGGATTTCCTTCTCTCCATATAGTTTTTGGCCTTGGTCTACAATTTTGTCGGACTTTCTCATGCATCACAGCTTGCATTCACTGATAATGATGTGAAACTACAGAGGGAGATAGTCTGACAGGTCAGAACAGCATGTCCTTTGGGGTTCTGGCAAAAATATCCCCCTAATTACATTTGTTCTGCTCCTGTGGCCCCTACACACTGCCTCCAAGGGATTCCCACTGCATCCATCCAGGGCTGTCTGAAGGTGTGAGAAGCTGCCTTTGAATCTGACAGCAGTTCCAGTAGCACTGGGTATCCTACTGCCCCTGGCTCATGTGGTATGAACACACCGAGAGGGCCATGCTCTGCTTCAAGCACAGGAAGGCTCCTGCACAGATTAGCAAATGAGTCTCAATGGATCTGCAAAAGCTAGTACCTGGCAAATGAGACCTGATGCTCACAGTCAGTTGGAGAGGAGCCAAAAGTCTCTAAAACTGCTTTTTGTGGACTGACAACCTGCAGAAGGGTGCTCCTCCTACACTGGCTTCTGTTTCTTTTGTCTGAGTGTTCTCTTAACAATGGGAGACTACATTAACATTATCCTGCTTCTCCTGGCCACCACAGCTAAAGGGAACAATCCCTGCAGGTGCTAGTCTAGAATCCTAACCATCCAAGGAAGTTACCAGTTCTAGCCTTTCTCTACAAGTAATATGAACAAGACACAGACACCTCATTTAAAAGTCTTCCTCACTGCCCTCCAATCCTTTCTAAAGTTGGAGGCCAAATGGGAATCAGGTTAATGACTGTTATCAGGGATCAGGTGACATTTTTATAAAATGACCTCCCAAGGATCACAAGAACACTGGATGGTGACAGGGAGGGTGACTGTTTTGATAGACTATGTAGTACCAGTTGACAAAGAGGACACTAACAGCATAATAAGCCATAAGCTTGACAGTTGAGGACAAAAGCTGCCTGCTGATGATTTTTTTGCAGTGCTATTCGGGGATGTATGGACAGAAGACAAAATATGGCATGAGTAATATAGAGATACCCATCTTAATCATCAGATTTTAAATCTTCACTTTAAATAAAATGCACTGCAGCAACACTTGACTAACAGTTTTACAAAAAAAAAGATATAGTAAAAATCTAAGAATTTCATTGATCCATTTACTCCTCCTTGACAGTAATAGAGCACTGATATACAGAACTATTACTTCCATTGACAGGCAATTCTCATTATCTTAACTCTAAATTGCATTTCAAAGACTACCAGCTTTTAAGAATGAAGATGTTAAAAAAAAAAGAATGCATTCTTTCTTATTTGTGAGCAATATAAATAACAGATAAATTTAGCAATTCACCAATTTACCATTAGCGTACTTAAATGTCAAATATGGGGGATGGGTCAAGCAGAAAAGAGTTCAAAGCATTGCTCAAGGTTGCATGGATGGATACATGAAAAGCAGGTGGAAGCAGAGTATCACTTCATGCCTGGCATGTGTATCCTGGGGGTTTTTCAGGAGCACTAGTGGATGATATCTAATAAACCTCCAAAAATTATAATCCACAGAAATCAACAAGTTACCTCATTTCCCTGCACATCTATTTCCAAGTCTACAGCCTTCCAAAGTGGACAATAATTATACAATAAATCAGCTTCTCTAGGCTGCCATGTAAACCTTTCCTCTGATAATATAAAGAATGTTTGGTGGGGGGAGGCTAAACTGTTTTTGTAGCAAACGTTCTTAAAATGTTTGTTATTTGTTATTCTAATAAGTCACCCACAAAATGGTAGCATAAAATACGGAGTTTGCATGACTAATACTTCCTTAATATTTCATATTTATTAGTTGCCAGTAAATCTTTTAAATTCTACAAATCACCGTAGATCTTCCAGCCTTCCCTCCTCCACCTCGGAAAGGCAGTCATATTTATCACTTTAAATCTGTTTCTCTCTGTATCAAAATGATTAGAGACAATGTAAAAAAAAAAAAAAAAGCAGGACACTCAGGATCTGGGTGGAAGAAAGCTTGGGAGGGAGGCACTCAAAAGGATATTGCACCGGAATTACAACATCATTTTATCCTGTTTTAAAGGATGCTATGAGAATCCACTGAGCATAACATGTTTAAAAAACGGACCCTTAAAAATGTCAGATATTCTTATCCACATACACAATTGTTGCGAAGGAGACAAACCCTTATGTAATACTGCTGGATTGCTAAGCTAGTCTATACTGTAGTGTGTGTGTGTGTGTGTGTGTGTGTGTGTGTGTGTGTGTGTGTGTGTTTGAGCACGCACTTCTTTCAAAACAGGGGAAAAACTGGAATTCAAATCTAAAGTTTAGTCACTTGAAACAATGCCACAACATTCTCCCTCCAGCCTGAAGACTGTATAAGTTGGTTAGTTGGGGTTCCTGATCAGTTCTGTGCCAAGGAAATTGCTAGCAGCACTGGATTCGAGGTCAGGCTTACTGGATCATATCTTTAGTCTTTATAACTGTCTTTTCCACATTTCCTTTCTTTCTCCATTTTGGGTCGCTTCTACTGGCCCCTGCTGACAAATGGTTGCTTCTACAACCTCTGATTAATCTCCGTGCCAATCTTCAGATTTACACCACAACGACGGCTCTGACATTATTAACAAGATTAATCATCATAATGATTATTTTTAAATGAATGTAACTTTGCAGTTTTGAAAATAACACGATCCAACAGAAACAGAAACGATTTTATAGAAAAAAAAAGAAAATTGCAAAACAAAAAAAAGCTTTATTATTGCTGGTTGCACAATACCTGTTTTAATTGCATATTTTAGAGTTGTTTGGCAATGCGTCAAAATTTCCTCCAAATTTTGTGGTTGGTCTGCTAATTCCCAATTATACTCTTGAAGAAGCTCGTTGGGATAGTGGAAATCAATCACTTTAGTTGATCTATCAAAACTTTTCACCACATACTGAAGCAAAATGTTCATAACATCTTGCAGGAATGCCAGAGTCGGCCTCTCTCCATCACACGCTGGCAGCAGGTCTGAAGAACGGAACGGAAAGGACACTTTAGATTTCACTAAGCAAAGACCCAGGCAATCACGGATCAGGCACTTTCTCTTTGAGTTGGATTTATTAGCACTCTAATCACAGCGTTTCAGAGGCCGAGGTAAGAGGGGAGCTAAGAGCTGGAGGCCAGATCTGGTTTAAGGGCTAGAAGACCTGGTTTCAAACAAAAACCACAGCATCTGGAAACACAAACGGACAAAACCTCCTTCCGGAATTAAAATTTGCATTTTTTATACGTAAACATAACGTGTTGCTTGGTTTATTCTTTTCCAGAAATAATGGCTCAGCTTGACTATTTCACGGGCGTGAAATGTTTGTCCTAAATGTTCTGAGTAAATAATTTTAATTGTCAAGACTCCATGTCGGGAATGTTTGAGAAATGCCTTTGGGCAAACCAGGAAAAGAGGATCATGAGAAGTCATGATCTCTGACTTCTGAAGGCCAGATGTTGTCAAAGTTGGAGTGTGTGGGTGTGTGTGAGCGCGCTCCAGCGCTGTTTGGGAGACTGGGAGTCATGCAAGCGGAGGTAAAATTGAGCACCCAGGGCTCACGTAAACAGAACCGTTTCTCAGTGAAATCACGGTTACAAATTACTCTGGATCCAATCGAACACCCTTGCATCCTTGCAATTCCGAACTATCGTGGAGGACATCTGGAAATTTGCCCTACCCAGAGGCTGGGGCAGCGCAGAGAAGCCGACTTCGGCACACGCCACGGCGGCTGCCACCTCCAATTCTCAAGCCTGCGCTGGCTCGGGGCGCTGTGGTCCGCCACTCGGACTGGGAAATGTTAGGGCCGGGTTCTTAGCGCGCTCCAGCCTGCAGACCCCACGTCCTTCCAATTCCGTGGAAGATTCTCAGAAAGCCCGCCCCCACCATCCCCCTTGGAGACTGGGGGTCAGGCGTCGGCGGGGAGGAGCGCGGACCTGGCTAGCAGGCACCTTTACCTGTTGCGTGCAGAAACGCGTAGTTGACATCCGCTTTGGGGCAGCTGCAGGGTTTTTGGTCGCAGGTGCAGGCGACCTTCCGGGTGGCGGCCCGCGGGGCCACGCTCCCGCCATTCTCCGCTGGCTTCTCAGAGTCTCCATAGAGCAGAGCTGGACAAGAACACGGAACGCGGGGCCTGGGTCAGCGAGCGACAGTCCTGGCTCCCTCATCCCCGCCCATCGGCAGCCCAGGACTCGGCCCGCACGGGCTGAGAGCCTGGCGACAAGTCTTCCGCCAGCCGCGAGCCCCCGACCTTGCCCGCCCTTCCCCCCCAGCGCGCCACCACTCACCGCACAGCTTGTTTCCGATGCCGCCGGTGAACTTTTGAGCTACCTGGCACCAAGCTCTCGCTGCAATCGCCAGGCAGGGGGACAGCGAAGCGGAAAGAGAACAGACCGGCGAGTGAAATTTCGTTCCAAGTGAACGAGGTCTTTAAGTCGGGGATCTGGGAACCCGGCGCCAACCCCGCCTGCGGCCGCCGGCGACTCTGCTTTCAGCAGGTGGGGGAGCCCGAGGGAACCTGAGTCCAGGACCAGCCCTCGCTTCACCGTGTCCGAGGAAGAAGCCCACACCACGGCCCTTCGCACTTGTTCGCCAGGTGCTCAGGTTTCCAGACCCTCCCTGAGGCGCCAGAGCTGCCTTTCCAAGACCCCAGGCTGTCCGTTTTGACGCGCTTGCCTTCCAGACCCCAAACACTCTCTCTTTCTCATTTCGTCTTTCTTTGCCCCATGGCTTCCCTGCCCAGGGTCTAGAGGTCCCAAAGCAAAGCTCGGGTCCTTGAAGTCTGTGGACTCTTGCAGATGCTGCGGTCTTTAAGGAGCCTATGCCGAGATACCCCGAGCCTCTTCCCAGGGTACAGAAGGCTGTGGAGGTTTGGGGTTCTCACACAGTTACGGACTTAACCCAGAGAGCAGGGCGAAGCGCCCAAAATAAGTTTCCTGTTGCAGATGTCAAAGCTTTGCTCATCTGCGTAGCCTTGAAAACCCCAAGCCACCCACAAAGCTCTCCCGCTTCAGGTCCCCATCGTCCTACCTGTACCCGGGTTCTCAGGATCCCCGGAGCCATCTTCAGATCCGAAGGACCAAAAGCCAGAGCCGGGAGAGGCCATGGCTTCTGCAAGACTGGCGCCAGTCGCCTGCCGAGTGGCTGCCGGAGAGCTGCCTTCGGCTCGACCCTGCACGCGCGTGCGTGCGTGTGTGAGTGTGTGTATGTGTGTGGCAGGAGGAGGGCAACGTGCGGGGACTGGCGCGTCCGCGCGACGAGGGTGGGTGTCACACAGGGACAGGAAACGTGCTGTCTGCGTGTGCCAGTGCCCGTGCGTGTGTTCGAGTCAGGGCATAGGGACGCGGCTGTTGCTGGTCGCCGAGGTTAAATGGGGAAGTCGCCAGGATCTTCGCAGTCTGGAGATTGGAAAAGTGGAAAGGGCCCTAGAGATTTTTAGGGAGAGGGAGCTTGGTGGGGAGATGAGGGAGTGACGGAGGGGAAATGAAGGCGTTGGATCGTGAGGTGTGAGGCTGTGCGTTCTAGCGCGAGTCAGATGCGGGGGAGGGAGGCGTGACGGCGCACGGCTGACCCAGCCACAGGCTCTCCCCGCCCGCTTCTGCCTGGACGCGCTGTCCAGGGTGCTACCGCAGCCCCCTGCACGCTGGCCCTGGCCACCGGGAGACCAGGGAGACCTTGGCGACACTGGGAGGGTGACCGAGACCGGTTTTACGTGTGCATCGATTGGCTCATTGTTTGAGGGCTGGCTCTGGCTGCGGCCAAGCAAAAGCGGTTCTTGCGCCCGCCTGCCTTCCTCCAAACCCGCGCCGCCGAGGTCGCTGTGACCTCAAGAGCCCAGGCCACCTGGCCGCAATCAGGCCCAACTTCAGGGCGTGGGGAAAGTACCAAGGGAGGGGGGGAGATGGAGAGGGGGGAGATGAGCCGCCTACACGCCGACGGACTCATTTCATCTCCTCAGCAGAGCCTAACGTCTGCCTGCTGAGCTGAGCCAGCCTGGGGGGCGCACGGTTCCTGCGCAGTCACGCGCTGGGTCCCCGGACCCACTGTTCCGATTTTGACTGACGGCTGAAGAGAAAGACCGCTGATTGAAGCAATTAAAATCCACGCTGGAGTCTATCACTGAGGACCTCGGGCTGGGAAAAATTAAATAAATAAAACGAACAGAAACTTCTTGAAAAGGAGCAGGGGAGAGCTGACACAGCCCACAGGATTGATGGTTGATGGGGGAAGGGACCCGGTGGCGAGGTGACCTTGGCCTATAGAGGCGTGAAACGGCCCACTGCTTATGCGTGACTCAAGAACGCGGGTGCGTAGGAGGGATGCAGGGGGTTTCCAAGTAAGCAAACTAGACTTTTTAAATCTCAGGAGAAAATGCATCCCCTCTTTTCAGGGGGATTCAAACAAATGACCTCTCTTTCCCAAAAGGAATCCTTAAGGTAGGGAGTGCCTAGGAACATAAAACTGGCAACTTCCAGGCCCAGGGAGAGGTAGTTCTGCTTTTTCTAATAAGGAATGAAACAATCTTTTTTGTTTGTTTGTTTTCTTTTCCCTAAAGGTTCTTAAACAGGGAAGGCACCTTGAGGATTTGGGACCCTCGGACTTCGCTCTAGCCTATACTCTTGACTATGGCTCCGGGCAGGTTTACAGGGAGCTCCAGAAAGACTGGCAGGAAAGTGCTGGTTTAAGCCATTCCCAATCGCCTTCTCTGGGCGCCCCAGCTAGTGCCAGCCTTTTTTTTTTTTTTTTTTTTTTTAATAATAGTCTCCTTAGCCCTTCCTTCTCTTTTTAAATGAAGCACCAAAGCTGTTGCCAGAGCAGGCACCCTGGAGCCTTCAGTCTTGGCGGCCAGGGTGACTTATTTTGTTAGGGATCCTGAGACCTTGCGGCTGTGCAGATGCCCACGTCTTGAATCTCCAAGTGCATTCTCTCCACAAAGCTTTATCTTCTTCCCATGTGCCCGAGTCCAGGGGCCCCGGAGGAGCTAGCTAGTGGATGCCCACTGAGGCTGCAGGATCCAGGGTTGCAGTTGGCACTGTTGGGGTGCTGCCCCAGGCCTGTCTCTAAGATTGTGCTGGCGAGAAGCAGGGGCATGGTCAGGGAAGGCTGTAATCTTGACCCTAGGTCTCAGCTTTGTCAGTCTTTAGGGCACTCCAGGCCTGGTCGCTTCAGCTGGCAGAGGCAACAGCTCCTGGAATGCAGGGACCTTGGCTCCAACGTCTGCTGGGCGAGCTTGCTCCATCAAACCTTGCCGATATGACTCGGAGAGCCCGGTTCTTTGTTTAAATCTATACCAAATCCTGCAAATAATTTGCTTCAAGCCAGCTGGCTGGGGTTGAAGCTTTCTTACTATGGATGAGTGGTCTGAAATAAAAAGGTTCATAAACACACACACACACACACACACACACACACACACACACACACACACACACACACAGCAAGCATGCATGCACCTTCCAAGGAAGAAATGGATGAAAACAAGAGGAAGGTAGAATCTCAACATCTGAATTTAACTTCTTCAAAAACTGTGACTTAAACCGGCGCCGTTTAAATGCAACTGAAGCTCGCAGCCCTTAGTATTTTTTAAATTAAATGGTGGCATTTAATTTAAGAAAACATATTTTTTTGCCACTCCCCACTTCAGTTGCAGGTGGGATTGGGTTTGTCTTTTAAAAACCCCTCCTTTCCTAGACATCAATTTGCTTTGTAATTTTTTTCATTCCCCCCCAAGAGCCCGTCCCCCCCCCCCCTTTTGCTCTGGTTGGCGATAACAAAAGAGCACAGGGAGGTAATAATTACAGCCATTAGTTCACAAAGGAGGCAGCGCAGACTGGGACTGGAAGGCTGCTACCGGGAGGAAGGGCTTTCCAAGGCTTCCCCTTTAATGGGGGAGACCCACACCAAAATCTCCAGCATAGTCCTGTACAGGAAGGTGTCCCGGGACGACCCATTTCTAGTCCACAGTGCACCCAGAAATCCCCGTGGCAGGTGGGGTCAAAGAAGGATATTTGGTACAAGTTTTCCCCGTTCCCTTTTGGTGCTTAAATGTTGAGGGACCGAGAAAGTATAGATGGAAAGAGAAAGGGATGAAAACAACCACGACATTGCAATCTTCCACCAAGAGCTGGCTATTTGCTTTTCCAGTCTTACTTAACCTGGAGTGCAGGGGCTGGGGTGGAGCTGTTTGTCGCCTCCCTATCCAGAAGTTAATATGCTTTTGCAGATACTCTTGTGAGGACTCCAGTATTCAGGAGCCACTGGAAGCTGGGATTGAAGGATGGGTCCCTTAGGCAGTGGAGCAGGGCTCTTCCTTACAGTACCTGCTCCAGGTGGGGCGCTGGAGCCTCAAGAAGCCTGGTCGCTTCCCCTAGATCGGCCCCTGAGCCTGGCCGTTCAGATTTCTTGTGCCAGGTACAGGTCCTGCCGATCGATCCATGGGTCGGCGCCGCAGTTAGGGTGACTCCTCTATCCTGTCTGTTTGGCCCCAAACTGGAGTGGCGCTAACTAGGGAAGGAGCAGGGAGGAGAGCGCACTTGAATTTGGGGCTTGGCCCTGTCACTGCAGGAGGCCTCTTCTCAGCTGGATCCTATTTGTAAGACTTCCTAGCTGCATAAGTCGGTGCCTGGGGAGCTTTAGGGGCAAATTCTGCAGAGACCACCACAACACAAATGTTATCAGCTCCCTCTGGTTTGGGTTTTGGGCAGCAGGAACCAAACCCTGACCTAAAGTGATCAGAACTTATTTGCTCATTCAGTCCTGCCTGGAACCCTGCCTACACCTTCTTTACCCACTACGTGGTGTAGACCTGGAAGGTGTCTTGCATGGAAGGGTTAACCTGGAGAGTTTTTTATTTGTTTGTTTTAATAAGCTACACTCGAGTGGTAAGGAAACTCCTGCCTCCCACCCACTCACTGCCCTTTTGCTCACTTGTATGTGGCCAATTTCCCAGGGGAGGCTACTTCAAATCTGTAGAATAAGAGACCTTTCTATCTGACAGTCCCCAGTGCGAGGACCAGTGCCAGCGTGGGCTGGCCTGGAAGGCTGTGTGAGTGTGGGTTTGGAGGTTCGTCCATGATTCTCCGTAAAGTTTAAGTAGACTGTGCTTTAGAGTACCTGGTGCTGGGGATTTGCTGATGAAGACAGAAGTCATCCCAGCTCCTGCCACCAGCCCAGCCTTGTACCAGAGACAGAGGCCCCCCAAGGCACAAGGTGAACAAGCCCTTGTCAAACACACACTTCCCAGGATGCTTGCTTTATTTAGCAATATTATTAATCAAGAGAGGAGAAAACTCCTTCCCACTGCCACCTCACCTTTGTTCTGACGGACCCAACCAAGAGCGACTGTCGTTTGGTCCTGAGAAAGTCTTTTCAAGAAAGAAGAAATCTCTTAAATCATTTCAAAACGAGCAAAGGGGGTGGTGACAGCCCAGGCAGAGTGAGTACCCTGAATCACAAACAGCAGAATACAGTGGTACTTTAGGGCCATGGGGGCGACGGGCAGGCGGGAGAAGTCTGGGGGTCCAGTATCTGGAACTCCCCAAAGGAATTCAGATTCTCTTGGGTCAGGGCCTTGAGGTGGCCCTAGTATTTGAGAGGGAACAGAGCTGGCAGGCCATCAGCGGCTCCAGTGCCTGAGTGTTCGGGTGGGTGCGAGAGGGTCCCCGGGGCTGCTTTGGTCCTTCTGGTGTCTCAGGGTCCAGCACTTTCTGAAGCTCTGTAGCTGCGCTACAACTGCTGCACCAGGCGCTGGCGCTGGGAGGTTTTCCGCAGGAGCCTTCTGTAGTCGTAAGGGTTGGCTGAGATCTCCTCGCTCCCCGTGGCGGTCCAGCACCTGCAAGTCAGACCGGGTTCTCACGGTCAATGGCAACTGCTCCTGACGGTATTTCCACCCGCCCTCCCAGGGCTGGGCGCCCCTCTGCCTTCAGCCAACCACCAAACACAGGCATTTTAGAAAGGTGCGATCAAAATGTCAGGGAAAATGACCCAACGAAGTAGCTAGCTGTAAAAAAACGGTCTGCAGTTTTGCAGAGTTGAAATTAGTAGCTTTTGTGTTCGGAAGAGAGCCAAGCACTTGAAGATAGAGATCACAAAGGCTGGCTTTGTTTGGAACAGTAGCTCGCGGCTAATAAAGAAATACTTATTTTAGTGCCTTATTTTGTTTTTTAATAGACTTCCGTCAAACAGGAAGATTCACAGTGTATAAATAGATGCCCACCTTCTGGATTTTTTTTGTTTGTTTGTTTTCTTTTTCATTTTTCTTTTTCTTTTCTTTTCTTTCTTTCTTTTTTTTTTTTTTTTT